ACAAGAGGATGAGACTGGCACCTCCCTGAGGAATTCACACTGTTGTGGCTGGCTGACTTAGGTGGTGGGGGTTCGGTCTGGGAAGATTCTTTCTAGAGGGTGTAGCTAATAAACATAGCTGAACTGATTTTGCATTGTCTCTTGGAGTTCCTTGGGCTAGGCCTGACAATTTACAAGGTTAAAGGATCAACATGCATATACTTGCATGTGCACCAAACAGTTTAACCTTCCCCCCCCCCTTTTTCTTCCCAGCATCCACTCTAATTGGTTCTATATCCTACCAGCGCTAAGCTAAAGAAATAGTGTAGTGGTTAATGTCTTTGCTGAGCATAAGGAAACCTGGCAAGAATGCTGCTTCTTCTTTTTTTTTTAAATTAGGATCTTTCTGAAATAAGTCATTTTCCCGTTCTTTTTTTTTTTTTAAAGTAAGACCAGAGTTTCACTATTTTTCTAGTCACGTGAGCTAGAAGGCTTTTATTCCCACCTCCAAAACAACCCAACATGAGATGGAGATTGTAACTCATATGCTAACTTGCGAATATTGGCTCCTATAAGCAAAGCAGCAGTGAAAACATGTACCAATTAAGGTTATAAACCAATTTTGTGCAAAATATGTTGCACTAATGCAATCAATAGCTTGGAGAGTTGTAATCTAAAATATCTGGAATATATCAGGATTCCAGCTGCTGGTTTAAGGAATTTGCAAACTTAGATCAAAACACAACAGGGAAAAAAATAATATTACGGACTATAGCAGCATTTTCAAGGGATTGATGGATCAGTCTGTTTCAACTGACTGTTGTTCTTAACAGTTGTTATTAAAAAATATTGATTGTTAAATTCATTGTGTTCCATTTCTGTGCTAAACCAAGCAAACACAGCTTATATTGTAATATGTAAGTACAGTAAATATGTAATTTGAAGCTGCTTAAAATATGCATTTCTGGAGACTTTCTCTCCAAGTATGAATTTTTAAAGCTAACATCTCCTTTCGAAATACACACCATTATATGTATTGGATTTTGGTTTCAGTTGAACTGTGCTAGAATATTTATGGAGTTGAACTATGCCACAAAGAACATTAATAGAAAATCCACACATTGGTTGAGGAAGTAGGAATCAGTTCAGACTATTCTAGAATTCATAGACACTGAATTTCTCAATATCCCTGGCATTTTTGTTCATTTCTGCTATACTGCTTAGTGCCCATACAGTCATAAAAAATCAAAATGAAGCTCTCGATCACTGCAGGATTGAAGACATATTGCTAGTTGAGACTGATGGCCTCTTCTTTTTATTTATTTATTTATTAACCCAATTTATATAGCTGCTTATCTCACCACAGGTAACTCGGGGCAGTGTACAACAAAGCTAAAAACAATCAATAAATACATTGAAAATATAATGTATTATAATGATTTAGGACAACTGTCTTCTAAAACGTATCATGGACTGGATCTTTTGAAGCAAAGAATTTCTAGGAAGATACCATATTTATGATTAGAGGAAAAAGCAAATTATTAATTGCTGTTTCTTAGCTCATGAGACTCCCTCATTCATGCCTGCCAGTTTGGTGCAGGATATTTAAGTCATTCTTTAATTTTGAACACACTCAGGGGAAAAAAAAAACAAAAAACCCTACATGCATGCAATTAAAATCATACGGGCATTTAAAAGTACACAGAGATCCTCAATGTAAATAGAAAACCCAGGCAAAAAGAACCAATTTACATTAATTGCTTCTCACACACTACCCTGGGATGCCCATGTGGGACCCAGGAAGCTTCTGTGTGCAATTCTTATAACCAACTGCTGGCTCTGTTGCTGTGTTGGCATTATGGTGAACTGCTTCTGAGTAATTTCTATGATAATATAGTTCCCTCTATGGTCCAAGTGTTCGCACTTGTTTTGCTGATTTCATTATTCCATTTAGAAACACATTATATTATTAAACAAAACTTAGTAATGCACATTAGATTTTGAGATTTGCCTTCTGCTGCTTTGGTTCCTTATGCTTTTAAACGGGATATCTAAGGATTCCAAGTCCGCATCTGTTGTTCTCAAGGCAAATAGGCTGTGGTTTTAGAACAAGATACTTCACTTTGCATATGCCTAAGAAAAAGAACCTATGTGCATATTTTCCCACCTATCGCATATATGCAAGGGTACAAAGGACAGATTTTTCAGGGTAAATTTGCATTTAGGGCCTTCAATGACAGGCAGCCCCATTTTTTTATCCATCAAGTCAGGAACTGTAAATAATGGAATAACAGAGAATAGCTTTCTTTCAGTGAATATTTCACCAATTATCCAGGGAAAGGAACAGCAGAATGTCCAGGGAAAAGGCCAGGTTAATCAGAAGCCAAAGGCTTTCTAGAAACCCTGTCCAAGGTCTGCCTAAGCTGAACAAGATGCAAATTGAAGCATTGTGCCTTGTCAGGGCAGATGAAGGATCTTATAGGTTTGATGTTTGATATCTGGCAACAGCCTCTCTGCAGGACCATGGGAAGCAACTTCATCCTGAGTCAGATTACTTGTCCTTCTCATCCTATTGTCAACACTGACCGGCAACAGCTCTCCCTGATTTTAAGAGTTTTTTTCCAGCTCTCCTTGAAGATGCTGAAGACTGATTCTGGGAGCTGCTGGATACAGAAGAGATATTTTATACTGAGTTGTACCTGATGTAGATGTAATTGTGTCTGGGGTTTTTAACCTTTCAGCCAAAGCATATATCTTGATTCCTATCAGCTGCTTGGGTTGTTTACTGAATTAGCTGAATCGGTGTACAACCACACCAAATATTATAAAACTGCAGGCAAACATTAAACACAGATTTAAATTCAAATATTAAATGTAAGGACCAAGGAAGGAGAGATTGTCTCTTAGCCTGGAAGGCAAAGGATCCATTTGAATCTCAGCTACGAATTCATTACTATAAAGAAAAATACGGAGATTAACCTGTAGACTGTGTTTCAAGATGCGGAACCAAGTGTATTTCTGTGTCTGGAAAAATTCTGCATACCAGTTTACTGAAGCTGTCATTCACAGCAAAGGGCAAATTGTGCTGCAATTTTATGGGAGAAAAATCAGAAAAAAAAAAAAAAGTTCTGCACTGAATGTTTTGTTTGTCTTGGCTTATGGGGATTGGACTAAGATCTCATCAACACTTTACCCTCTCTTGACTTTCTGCATTTGTCCTATGCCTCTTTACATCAGAAAGCCATACTGAGAAGTCAAAGGAACATGTTTCATAAAAGGTGTATATGTTTCCTTTTCTAGACAGCTTCATAAATCTCCTATCCTCTGCAGAATATGAAAAACTGAATATACTTTCACAGTGTGTTTGCTTGGATTTGGCACCATGGAACAATAAGATTTTGAAAACAAAATTCTGTTTTATAAGCAAGACCCCCTACTAGACCATTGACACACTTCTTGAAAATAAAATATAGCTCTAGATAACCCAGCCTTTGATTGGAAACACACTCAAACCTCAGATCACTCATGCCTTTGGTCCTCATGGCCTCAATTTCTGATATATATGATGGCTATTTTCATCTCTTCTTTTCCTGACAACCTTTGTTAAATGAAATACACCTTCACCCTGGTGGTGGCATATATAGGGAAAGGAACAGCAGAAGATATTATGTCATAGTCATACACTAGACCTTTATGCTCTTTATTAGGCACTTGGGCCCTACCAAGAGTTGGTTGTACTATGTGT